CCTTCCGAGGGAAGAATAATTGAGGTGTTTATTTACCACTATATCCTGTTCTCTACTGATAGTTTTTTTTTTATCATGTTAAAAAAAGAAAAGGCATCCCAAAGGTTACTAGGACTGTAAGTTTCGACAGGGAGACCCATCGTTGTTTATGCCACAGAGCCACAGGCTTACATTGGTCTGATTGCTGCGCCTGACAGGAGGCTGTGCTTTGCACAGAGTGGCTGCTCTTTGATGAGCAGCCGGCAAGCTTGGAGTGCAGCTAAGACAATCGGAGGAAGTCTATGTGTAAACTGCTCCGTGCAAGGAAAGGTGGTTTTTCCATTTGCCTTTTTCTGAGCAGTTTAACTTCCTAAATTCATGATCCAGATTGTTTCAGAGGCTATGTAAACCATATGTTTGCTAAATGAAAGAAACAAACATGGGGAAGTCTGATTAGCATCAACTTCCCTTAGGGAAGGGGGATCTTTCCCAACCCAGCTGAGCTCGTTTTATACTTTACTGGACACGGGTGGGTCAGCGGAAGGGGGAATGGGGTTGTGAATGGCTGCATCTGATTGTGGATTCCCCGCTCTTCTGCTTATGCACGTATTTTTATTATTATTATTAACTTGGGGCTGCCCTGGGTCTTCCTTGCTGCACACGGGCTTTCTCTAGTTGCAGCCACCAGGGGCCAACTCTTTATTGCGGTGCCCAGGTTTCTCCTTGCAGTGGCTGCTCTTGTTGGGGAGCACAGGTTCGAGGTGCATGGGCTTAGTTGCTCCAAGGCATGTGGAATCTTTCCGGACCGGGGATCAAACCTGTGTCTCCTCCGTTGGCAGGCAGCTTCTTATTCCCTGCGCTACCAGAGAGATCCTTACGCACGTATTTTAACAGTTATCCTTGTGTATTAGTGTGAGAGAGTTAGTATGTGCTGATTGTCATGAGAAGAAAGAACTTCACTCAGTATTCAGCAGATTTGGAGAGGGGGAGATAGTAATTTGAACCTTTATGAGATTAACTGTGTGAGTGTGTGTTTTGTGTGAGAGAGCACGGACATGCTAGCGAGTTCCTTTTCCTTGTCGGTTCCGTTGGGTTTGAATAGTAGCCAACAAGGATAAATAGCCTACTTGACTTCTGTTAAATCAAGTTGTTTTTTTTTTTTTTTAATATTAAGTGCGTTAAAGGAGTGGTGAAGAAGTTGTGGACATTATTTATTACATGATGAAGATGTTTGCAGGTCTAGATAAAATAATGATACTGGGTGACTGCTATTGAATCAGTTAGGAAAACAGCACACTTGTTTCCTGTGTCCTATTTTGGGTACAGAAGTTAAAACAGTGGGAAAGTTCAATGGCCCAGATGTGTGGACGCCAGATATCTTGAGGTGAACTCGCACAACTATAAATGAGGTGGCCACTCTTTGCCATCCCAGCTGAACGTTTCAGAGGACAACAGGCATAAACCAGGACAAATGGTCACTCTAGGTCTTAACGGTATTGTAGTTGTCATGGCTTAAGAGAACAATTTAAAAAAATATTCTATTAATTTTTCTACTTCTTCTGTCTCTAATTACCTACCCCCTGAAGTCAGAGATTCAACACAGCAGTGAAACACACTAGCTGATATTGTTTGCATTTAGGCAAACACAGGGGGTAATAACTCTGAAAATTAAGTGGGGGGAGATTTAAGTAGCTTATTCATGTCCATTTGCATGAGTTTCCTATGATCTCTTGGTTTGGAATCCTGTTGGGGACCGTCTAGCAAGTAAAGCCACTTTATGCTGAAGCCTTTTCGGAACTTGCGTTCATAGCATGCAGATTTCTTTGCCATTTATTTCTTTGGGAATACAGAGAATACCTGTGCAATGTCATAGCGTAGGGTACTGCCTAAATATTCCATGTGCACACCATTAGGGAGCTTGGAGTTCCCTGTCTGAAGCAGAATTATTTTTAATTGGAAGTGATTTTAACTAAAAGATGATCTTTTTAAGCTTGTGAGTTGGACCAAGAGAGTGGCTCGGGTGCAGAGAGAGGACAGTACCAAAGGCTTCATTTTTTTTTTCCTTTCGTTTTTGCTACTGTTGTTGAGGTTTTGCTTTCATTTTTATTCTTTTTCCTTTTGGTCTCATCCTGAGTCCTGGATTTTGTTAAATCGGTGTCTGAGATGTCTGGACAGTCTTATAAGCCTTACCTGCTATATGGTCAGGCCACTCAGGATGGCCCTCCTCTTACTGTCTGTGCATGCCCTGCTGGATCCCCCCCTCACCTCTGCCCAACTCACAGGAATGTGCTTGCCCACTGCCCCAGCTGGGGATTGTTCTAATCCTTTGGCTAGAACAGCTTCACATGCCTGTCTGTTAAGGGAAACATCTGCCTTCGTGGTGATTGTTAACCAGAGGGGCTATGAGGGACATTTTCCTGGAAACCAGTGGGCCCACTTGATGTCACTTCCCCCTGTAAATGGTAGCTTCTTCTTCCCCGGGCACTGAAGACTACTGCCCTGGTCTGCTTGCCGCCTGCAGCACACTTGTCACTCTGGGACCCTTTTGTTTCAGATGTGAGATCCCCTCTCCCATAAACCACTGATGTCTCTGTTGTTGCGGGGTCTGTCTTGAGGCTGGGCAACTACAAGCCTTGTGGGCCTGCAGGCTGCAACCCCACACCTGCTTTGCCCAAAATTGACTGCTTTGGTTGTGGTTCACAAGGTATAATATTGTTTGCTTGTAAAGTATATTACCCTGCTTCCTCCTTTTATAAAAATCACATGAACTTTGATAACCCTCATTTTGATATGAGAAATATTTTATATATTCTGAGCACAGTTATGCAGGCCTGTATAAGCGAGGTCTCAGCGAGTTTCAGGGATGATGTTGCCATGTGAACTTCCAGTTAATACAGATTATTACCCTAGCAACAAACAGGCTTGATCAAAAGGCAGTTTTTTGCTTTTATGGATGATACAACTGTATTTGCTGGTTTGGGGTGGGGGAAGGATCTATAGAACTAAATTTTAAAAAAGATCATAAAGTTTTTAAAGGAGAGTTACAGGGAATGGTTGACAGATGCCCACTACCAGATGAAAAATTTTCTCAGAAATCTTGAGCAAAATGGCCTATTTTGAAATTTCCTAGTATAGTTGAGCACTAGGATTTTTCTTAGCTCTTCTGAGTTCATAAATTTGCATTTTTTATTAGGTAAGTTAATTGTTCAATATGGTTCTTAGAATGTATTGCATGGTCATCCATTTATTCACCAGTTATTTTTGACCTGCCGTGTTCAACTGCAGGACAGGTAGAGAATAGAGGAGAGCTGTATCTAACTAGAGCTGGGATTTGCCAGGAAAATGACTGTGTATACAAGGAGTGCTTATATAATTAGGTATCGGGAAATTCAAGTTGGGTAATTGAATAAGGGTGAATGAGAGGATATGAAGGGTTCAAGGATGGAGGGAAAGGCAGTGGAATCAGTGGGTTGTAGGAATGGTGGGTTAAAATTGTTGGGGTTGAGGATTAGAAGAGATGAGTCAAGAGACTAGCAGGGCTGGTTAGGAAGTGGGTTTGACATTGGGATTGCAGAGAGATTGCAATTGGTGATAACAGGGTCGATCCTTGAAGGGCAAATCAAGGAACTGAGAGGCCACGATCGTGGAAGGATTGCCACATGGAAATTCAAGAAAGGGGTGTTGGGCAGCAGCAGGAAGCCAGCAGCTACACTCATGAATGAGGATGAGGCAGGATCCAGGGGCCTGGAGATGACTTTGATGATGAAATAGAGACTGAGGACATTTTGGGAGGAGGAAGTGATTGTTGTCTAGAATAATGAAACTCAAGCCATGGAAAGCCTTCTAGGGAGGCGGTGCTCTCTAGGAGGAGCCTAGTATCTGTTAAGGCAAGAAGGTAAAGAGAGAGAGTTCAGAGAGGAGGCTGAGGATTTAGAAGATTTCGCTGGATTTCCAGAGGACGCAGTTGGAAGGGTTTAGCAGCCAGCTGAGGGGTGGAGGTGAGGCCCAGTTAGGCACGTGCTTAGGGCTGTGCAGGTCAGAGTGCATCCCGGGGAATGAAGACCACCAGAGGGTCAGTCTGGGGCACAGGCAGGGATGGAGGGAGCCCTGGGATCAGTGGGCGCTGTCTGAAGCTGGTGGGGAGGCTGTGCATGCTGGCAGGAGGGGCCGGGGGTCTTGCCAGAAGACCGACCTCTGAGGCTGTTCTTCCTCCGGCGCCTGGCAGTTTAGGGGCTGGTAGGGCAGCCTTGCCTCCCAATGTGAGCAGATCTCATCCTGCAGATGGAGGTGAGGCTGGGGAGTATCTGTTCAAGCAGTCCCATGATGTCTCTATGTTTTACTTTTTGCAGCAATGCCAGGATAGTGTAAAAGGAAACTTGGAGGGTCTAATAATTGTTTTTAATATTGCTTCTAATTACTTTTTAAAAATATTTATTTGGCTGCACCAGGTCTTAATTACAGCACTTGGGATCTTAAATTAAGATGTGCAGTGCAGTTCCCTGACCAGGGGCTGAACCCGGGTCCGCTGCATCGAGACCATGAACTCTTAGCCGCTGGCCCACCAGGGAAGTCTGGATATTGCTTTGATACCTAAGATACAGTTCAGTATACAACAGAAAAATAGTAATTAAGAGGTTTTCATTTTGGAGAGTTATACTGACTCATAGGGTTTCTCAGGTGACTCAGTGGTAAAGAACCCGCCTGCCACTGCAGGAAATGTAAGAGATGTGTGTTCAACCCCTGGGTCGGGATGATCTCCAGAATTCTTGCCTGAGGAGCCTGGTGGGCTCCGGTCCATGGGGTCACAAAGAGTTGGACACAACTGAAATGAATGAGCACACATGCTGACTCATAATCAGTAGGAATAATTCAGAGTTCAATTCGTATTTAAGGTAAATCTTTCTCTCCCTGTCCTCCTTCCCTTCCCCTCCATGTCCCCCAACGTGTGACTTGAAAATTGACAGCGTCACAGTCTCATCCACTGAATTCCTGATCATGTTCTTTTTCCCGTTTCTTTACAGTGAAGAAAGTTACAATGTCAACGATTATTCTTTAAGAGATCAGCTCCTGGTGGAGTCTTGTGACAGTGAAGAGCTTAATTCTTCTCCAGGGAAGAACAGCTCCACAATGCTTTATTCAAGACAGAACTCTGCCAGTCACCTCTTTACGCTGACTGTCCTTAGTAACCATGCCAACGAGAAAGTGGAGATGCTGCTGGGAGCGGAGACACAGTAAGTATGTGCAGGGCAAGAGTTTCAGCATATCTGCTGACAGTCTAATTACCCTTGGTCCACAGACTGCCTAGAAACAGTAAAACGCTGCCTACTGTGTATTTGTATTGCCTGCCTGTTATGCACCAAGCATAGCATCTGGGTGTTTTGTGTAGATACTCATCTCACTCTGATCCTCTCAACGTACTGAGAGATGGATATTGTTACTTTTGTCCCCATGAGTCCTGATGGATGTGTTGTGCTTTAGATAGTGAGTTTTATACTTACAGAATGGCTTAAAAATCAGTTTATTTTAATTATTGATAAAAATATGACCCAGGAGCCCTAGGAATATGACTTACTGGTAGTTTGAGTCTAGGCCCTGTGTTTCCTTAGCTACTGAAATTGAAGTCATTTCGCAGTCACCTACCTTCAGCCAGGCAGCAGAAAGCCCAGTGATTTGTCAAAAGAGACACTGGGTTTAGGGAAATAAATTTATTGCAGGAAGGGGAACCCCTTGCAGGGCCTGAAAGCGGGCTCTTGTCTAGCAGTTGGAAATGAACCATCCAAGGAGACACATGTGCTGACAAAGCAAGAGACTTTATAGGGAAGTGGTGCCCAGGCGGAGAGCCACAGGTAACGGAACCCAGCAGGACCTCCCTGCCAGAGCCCGCGATCTCGGTTTCATAGTAATGAGGAATCATCGTTTGGCTCATACCTGGTCTGACTCAGGGGCCTCCCTAGCGGGACGCACATCTCTCAGCCATGATGGATTCTGGCCTGACAGTTTCTGGGAGGTTGGCTCACATTATGGGGTGGCATCTCCTCCTTCCTTTTGGCCCCTCCCAAATTCTTCTGGTTCGTTTTTGGGGGCAGCACCCCATTCCTTATCGGGACCCTCCCGTTGTGAGACAACTCATGCAAGTGGTTATCGCCTTGCCTGGTCAACGTGGGTGGTTTTCTTCAGTGGTTCCTGAACATTCTGATGAACCCTCTCTCCTGCCCAGAGTCGATGCAGAGGCAGAACAGTCATCACGTTTGTGCCAACAGTTTCAGCGGCAGTTAGTAGGCAGCCCATTCTCACGTGGGATGAAGCCAGTACAGGTAGGGTTAGTTGCTCAGTCACGGCCGACTCTTTGTGACCCCATGGACTATAGCCCACCAGGCTCTTCTGTCCATGGGATTCTCCAGGCAAGAATACTGGAGTAGGTTGCCATTCCCTTCTCCAGGGGATCTTCCCAACGCAGGCATTGAACCTGGATCTCCTGCATTGCAAGCAGATTCTTCACCATCTGAGCCCCCAGGGAAGGCCATATGGGATGAAGTTAAGGGGCTTAATTGTCAAGTCTGCCTCCGCCCTTACTGAACCAAACTTGGGTCCGCATGCCGTGCGCTGTAAAGCCGATCTCCTGACACTGGGTTGTGATGAAGGGACGTGCAGCCTTTATCGTGAAGGTGCCAACACAAGGTGGATGGCTAACTTGTGCTCTGAAAACCCCCAGACACCCAGGTGGATGTCAGCAAAGCACGTTTAAAGGCCAGGTGAGGGAAAGGGTTACAGGGTATGTGGTCAGCGGGTGCAGTTCTGATTGGTGGATTTCAGGTAACAGGGTGGTTTCCCTTATCAATCCTTAGGTACCAGTAGGCCTGGGGGTGCGTGGTCATCAAGCAGTATTTCTTCCATTTTGGTGGTGGTTTCAGCATCTGTGACACAGCTCGGGAATGTGCATCAGATACTGTTATTTAGGTACCTCTGGAAGGAGTCAGAGCAGAGGACAGTGGGGGTGGAGGTTCTGTCCCGAGAAGGCCCTGCAGGATCCTATTCGGTTACATTGCAGTTTTGTCCATTTAGAGACACTTGGCCAATTTGTTTGGAAACTGGAAGCCTCCTCTTAAACTAAGCATCATAGGCAGGTATTATGTTGGGTCAGAGGTTGAAGCCGTGGAGGGAAAGAAGGTCCCTCATCCTTGGTTCTCTGGGGTTCCTATACTCTTCTACTTGGCTCTTAACATGGTGTGATGAAAATGAATCAGGGTGAATAACCACCCTAAGACTGTAACAAACTCTTAGTGAAAGTCAACCCAAAGAGACAATCTCCATCTTCTAAGAATATTTAACAGGGACCCTGGTTTGTTAAAGAGAGACACAAGAAAAGAGAAGGAAGGGGAAAAGCCATCCACGTGAAACAATGAACGATCATGTCATGTTTTGGGCTCTAGAAGCAACTTTTCAAAGGGCGAAGAGAACCAGGAGGGGCAGGGTATAGAAAGCTGTTTGAGATTGAAAAACAGCAGAAAGGGAGGATTCCAAATGCACTTCTCAAGCTGACAGAGGGAATGAGTAAGAAAAGGAGCGCCATCCCCTGTGTTTGTTTATAAAACAAAGAATTGCCTCTTCCTTAGGCCCCAGAATTCTTCCAGGAAAGGGCTGGAAAGCCCTGCAGCATTCCAAGGATGCTCCTCTGTGTTTGTGCCTCTGGGGAGGGCATCTCTGTTGGGTGTGGTGCTTACTGGACTGTGCAGGTGACCAGCAGGGGGACACACCCAAGGCCAGGGCTGAGGCATTTCTTGAAGGCATTTCTTCAACTCTTAAAAATGATAAAACCCCTTAGCGTGTAAAGACAGACCTAGATCTCCTCTGTTTGGGGAAGCCTCTCTCAAAAAAGAGAATTTAGTACTTCTGAGCTTTAGATCTTAAAGAACTTTAAGGATGAAAATAAGTCTTAAACACTTCAGAGATGACTGCTTGTCCAGACATTCTAAAGAATTATTCAGAGATGAAGACATTGGTTTGTCATTTTGAATAAGGGAGAAAGTGTTGTTGGTTTCACTCATGTTTTCCTTTTCTCTGTGTTTATAAGGATTGTTTGTTCTTTATTCAGATCTTGCCAACATATCAACAGATCTTTTCCTGACTGTCTCATCCATAATTTATGTAATCTCTGCTGCTGGTTTCTGAGATTATTCCAAGAGAGTAGGCAGTAAGCCGGCACATTCAGTTTTTACACCGAGGCTCAATCCTTTCCTGGGACTTTCTATAACCCGTGTTCCATCCTTTTTCTTGCTTTTTAATCTTGCCGTGGACTGAATTGATGTTCATTTCCTCAACCAGAAATTTTCAGAATATCTAGTTATGTCACCCGTTAACCCGTGGGTATGACTCATATTTGTAGCTCTTTAATTAATAGCAAGAGAACATTCCAGAAGATGTGAACGGGTAGCTCTATCCTTGGGTATGGAAGGAATGACTCCCTAACTCTCCCCTGCTCCCAACTCACAGTCGCAAAGTAAAAATCTGGACAAATACTTGGGTGCTGAAAAAAAAACAGGACAGTCAAAGTGCACTTTCTTTTTTATTTTTTTTCAAATCAGCTGTTTAAAACCCTGGCAAGCTGTTATATGCTGCATTTGGAAATGTGCAGGTTGGCACGGGGCTACATGGTTTTGAACAGTCAAGAGTCTTGGTTTGTGTAGAATGTTTTCCTTGCATCTAAGGTTTGTGAAAGGTATAGCTGAGCAGGTTTTTTAGCTCTTATATGTGGTTAAAATAGTCTATCAGCAATCTAGTTGAGAAAACAAGGCTTTTATCACCACCCTGACCTTGAATAATTGCAGGATTTTAGATCAGTTATTTACATTCTTTGGCTTGAAAAAGAATGAGGTCTGTACCTTCTTTGAAAAACTTCTCAGTAGAGGCCACCTGGGAATGTAAAATCAGCAGCAGTAGGAAGGGGCAGCTCTTTGGCACAGGGACAGTTAGGCTATCATAAGACAGTGGAATTGTGGAAGAACAGATTAATAGCTTTGATTACACAAAGAATGCAGAAAAGCTCACAGAAAGGAAGTGGGGCAAACACGTGGCGAGCATCTGGGATGGGCCAGACGCTAAGCCAGCCAGAGAGCAGGAAGAAGGGAGCTGTGGGCGTTTCTCGAGGATGGTCCTTCACGGTTTTGAGGTACATAATAAGTAAGATGACATCTAAGTAAGACAGCGTCTTGGTTTCTTCGGGATCAGTGTTATGTCTGTTGTTCTGGCAAAATTATGAATAGGCCCCTCTTTGGCTCTCCAGAGCATCTTTAGACAATATGTCGTGACCCTCATTATAAGTCTGATGTCCAGCTCCCTCATCTTTCTCCCCAGATGTCAGATGAGATTCCAGAAGGTGAAGTGAATTGCCTGAAATGACACAGGAAATGGGTTACTGACAAAGATGCGACTTGACCTCGACCTTTCTGATTCTAGCGTTCTAATAACTTTAAGCTTCTTCCTGAGAAGCTGCCGGCCAGGAGACTATTCCACTCCCACCTGGCCTTATTCTGGATCTGAAGGGGAAACTCCAGGAAGCCAGTTACCATCAAATGTAAAAACTACTAAAATGTGGAGTGTAAGTCCATAGATTCAAAAAAGGAAAAGGTCTGTGGCAAATGTAGGGCATCATGTGATTTGAAATATTTTATAATGCTGAATAGATGTTGCACCCCCAGGTTATTTTCCACTTCAAAACGTCCTTTTCTGTTCCTTTGCCCGTTTTTCCCACTTCCTGGAATACCCTTCTTGGAACTCCTCAGATTAGCAGATGTCTCAGTCCTCAGGGCTCGATCCAGGTGCCAGGTCTTTCCTCTGCAGGGAACCCTCAGCGCGGCTCCTGGTGCTCTTGTTCCCGAGAATGCCGAGCGCTTGCCGCATGCACCACGCTTGTTGGTTCATTTCTCTCCGTCGGTTCTGTCTCGCCCACCCTCTGCTCTACCAGTCCTGAGCGCCGCCACCCCCAATCGGAGTCTCTGGGACTCTAGAGCCCAGGCCCAGTAGTTGGGGCACACGGTCTTAGTTGCTCCGCAGCACGTGTGATCGTCCCAGACTAGGGAGCAAACCCATGCCTTCTGCATTGGCAGGCGGATTCTTTACCACTGAGCTCCCAGGGAAGCCCTCTTCATCTAATATTAAAAGTGAATGGGGGAAAAGTGCAGGGGCAACAGTAAAGTCAGGCAGTGTGTGCTGGAGTGAGTGTTGGGTGCTAGGGTGGG